TTTCTTTTTCATTTCAGCATTTCCTAATAAATCAGTTATTTAGGTGGAAATTCCTTTAAATGAATTCAACTCCACCTGTTAAATACACATTATGTCAACTACTACAACATTGTTTCTGTCAAAGGATTTTCAGAATCAATGTAATAATTGTAATGATTAAAATAAGCATCAGGTTCTAAAAAGACTTTAGAAAAGGTATTAATTGGAAAGGGTGAATCAGTGTGGGAGATTAACGGTCTGTGTAAAAGTATAGTACAATAGGGTCTCAATGTGTAAATGTTTGATGCAGATAACTTGCGATTAACCAGTTTTGCATACAAGCAAGTCCACCCCTACACTGTTGCATCATGCACTACAGTACATGGTATGCATGCTTAAAAGACATAACTAATTTTCCTGTATTTATTAATGCATTGCTTTAAGTTAAATAACATTGATCAACTAAAACATACTGCAGTAATCACAAATGTATCATACTCATCTAAAACAAGATGAATCCCTCCTCTGTGTCCAGTGGATGCCTGCACTTTCTCTCTCTGCCTCCATAATGAAAGGGACAATAAGACTGTCGATGAGTCTGTAAAGTCATCTCCGGTCTGACATCTCCTACACTGCCAACACAGAACCAGGAGGGTTCATTACAATATAAAAACAAAACCAATCTGAGATGGGTGATTGAGCAGGGGGACAGGGACTAATTTGAAAGTTGCGCTTCACAACCTTGGGCTTGGCTTCTTCCTAAATTGCTCTTCTTCTAAGACCCTGTTGGCCAGACCAAACCGCGAATCGGCAAATTCACAAATTGCAGATGTTTAGACCCTGCTGTATTAACGTCTTTCCCATCGACTCTTCCGCAGTTTCAGCTTTCAGAAATCCGGAGAGGTTAGTGGCAGATGTGCCAGCAGACTCCTATGAGTCCTATTGAGATTGGTCCTGCTTATGCACTCACTTTCTAGCATATGGGCAAGCATAGCTCACAAACAAGTCAGCAGTGGAGCAATGCAATTTGTTATTTGTCTAAATGCAATTAGAAATATAATGACAATAGCAGCCCTAGCTCAGGTAGGTTTGTCCTATCTGGACACTGTTGCAACAAAATTATTGCAGTGGTGAAATTATGTCTTCTAATACCCTCTATTAAATATGTTTTAATAGGATGTAAAACATGCAACATAAGCCCTTACTTCACTATTCATTTGAACAGGTCAGCTGTTTCATTGTACATTAAAGAAATCCATAACAGTATAATTAATGATGGCCTGGCACCACTTTCACTTTGGCCTGGCACATAACTGTAAAAGAACAAACCGCAGAGAAAGCTGGAGACCCCATAGATACCGTTTGAATGCTTTGATTTAACCCCGTTTTTTTGGCTTTGAGGCCATATGAATAAAAGGAAGTATTTAACTATATCCAAATGTTACCATTTAAACAAGATGAAGCTCACTTTATCCACTGAGTAGCGTCTTGCAGTTGGCATGCCACGCTCGCCTGTAATCAACATAAACTATGTAAAGGAATGCATTGTCTATGGTATCAGTTATAGGGCTAAAAGCTGAGCTTTAATAGATAGTAGGAATATTTCTTCCTTCTGTTTGCGGTAAGCCTCATCCATGCTTCATTTTCTGTGAATCACTAATTTATGCCCTTTACAAGAAGGCCTCAAGGCGTGGGTTATTTTCTGACTTAAAACTTAAAAAATATATGTTCTCCTTATGCACCAAGATTTGTTAACCATTACTAATCTGGTTTGTGTAGATTTTTTTTTGTTCTGGTTCTGTTCACATTTTAATTTTTTTTGTTTGTTTTTGTGCTTTTCTAAGATGAGGGGACTGTTGAAAGGGGTAGGTGTCTTTTCTACTTTTGTGTAACCTGCACATATATTACACATTACATATCCTTCTGATCATTCTTCACCTAACGTGACAATTTCCATCTTTGTTTTCCGTACGCTTCTCAGAAGAAATTGAAGGTACTGCTTGTTCCTCTAACCTTGCCCTCCTGTCATAGATGTGCGATGTCCATCTCATTGATTGGGTTATAAAGTGACCCAACAATGAAGAGGTGCTGATTAGAAGCCATTTCCCCTTTGTTGTCTTAGTATAGCGTGTCTGTCAGAAAAGGAAGAATAGACTTCCTTGCTCTCTGCTGCTCCTTTTTAATGTTTGTCAAGGTGTCTGTTGACGTAATTAAATGAATACATAAAATGTTAATACATTTACAAGTAATAGGTTGATTCCATGCTGAAATGAGAAGAAAGAAAACACGACGCAAAGACAAACAAGCTCACGCCTGCAGAAGGCTCCACGGCCGAAACGTTGTGTTTTCTTTCTTCTCTTTTCGGCATGGAATAAACCTATTACTTGTTCCTTTGCAGCCTATGCATGCTGATGCAGCTAGCCACCTGAAATGTTAATAAATGTCTGTTTAATGAAATTAAGGCATTAGTGTTCGGAGCCATAATTTACCTTGTTTTAATTAGGCATTTTGTTAACTTTATTTATTTGAATTTGTCTCGACGTTGTAATTTATAATGAAGGCCCTTTACGTGGCCCCAAGGCATAAATGGTAGTCACCCTGCAAAATGCGTTGTGGTGAACATGTAATTGTCCCACTCATCAGACGAGAAGCGTTTGAGAGGTGAACACCAGCTGAATATGCTGTCGCCTCACCTGGAGTCCTTACAGCCTTTGTATTTTCAGTCTTGGATTATCACTCTGTTCCTGACTGGCTAGTTTTTGTTTTTCTTTGCAATAGAGTCCACTGTATACTATCTCTAAGGACTTTTTCGTGGGCTGAAGGGGGTTGCTCACTTTCTCTCGGTTTGTGTCCTGGTTTCTAACTTCTTTGCTTCTTTTCTTGGCATCTGTTCTTCTGTATGTGCTTTTACACTGTATCCAGAGGATGCTGAATATGGTGCCTATATAAGTGGATTCTACATAGGTGAGAAATCCTTTACATTATCTGTGTTCTTTTTTCCCTTTTCATCCCTAACAGTATTTTGTATAAGGTCTTTGTAACAGCAATCATGTAATAGTTTTGTGTGTGTGTGTTTTATGAACAGAAGTTATTGTATTTGTGCAAAGTTGTTGTTGTTTTTTTTGACCGAAGCAGATCTGTCTTAAGATTCCTGCTTTTGGTCTTTCTGTTTTTTTGTTTTTCAGTTGCACAAAAGTATTGGATCAGCTGTTAAATATCCCATTTGGGGCTGTGTCATCAGTCAGCTTTATGACACTGGGGTTCCCCAAGCGTCAGTGCCCAAGTGAGCAAGCTCCTCGGGGGCTGCCAGGGTCCTAGTCCAGAATTGTGTCTCCCACGGGGGTGTCCGTGGTGCCTGGGAGACGGCAACATTGACATTTAGGGCCGTGTCACTCCTATTATAACCTATTCCTTTCAAACCTCCTATAATGCACTAGGAGGCTGGACATTCGTGTAAATATCTTGTTAATTGCATATGCTTTGGCAACACTGTAATTCATTGGTCATTCCAATAAAGCTTTTTGAATTGAATTTGTAAAATGGCAAGCGACTCTGACATTGAGTAGTGACAGTTAGGACTCTGCCCTTATTCCATCTGTATTAGTGTGAAACTCACAGTGACCCAAGATACCATCTGACAGTTTGAGAGATTGAGAGGGTTACAAAGAAAAGACCTTTTCCGTTTATTTTGGTTAAAAAAAAAACAAAACTGTTTGCTGAACTCAGACAGTCTTTTGTGAGAGATTGTGTCTGAAATATGGAGATTCGGTGCTTGTTTGGACGAACAATAGATACGCAGCTCTAACAATAGGGCTGTCAGAGCTGAGAATAAAACAAAATCATTTCTACCTTGTGGAAGGCTTGTAAGTAAAAAAAAAACAACAGGACACACTAAAAAACGTTGTTCACCTGATGGAGGACCAGAGGTGCCACAGCAGCAGAGCTCTGAAGAATATCCAGGCTAAATGTGAGAGCCACACATCTTAGAAAGAAGTTGCTCCAGGAGAGTATTCATGAGCAGGATAAAAATGTACCCTAAAAACAAGAAGAAATTGCTGAATTACATCATAAGACCAGCATTTGGGGAAAGTCAAAAGAAGACGCCGATTGCGTTAGCAGTTCTGTCACACCAGGGGGATACCTGTGTGATCAGCCTGTGTCTTGCTCAGTGGTCTCGGGCCAGGTCAAGCAGGGAATCACGGATAATGTTTGGGCTTGAGCTGGGAATTCCCAGTGTTATCACGTCGGGGCAGAGTATTGAGTTGAACGGGATTGCAGGCTGGGGGTTAACAGTGTGTGTCTCGTGTTGTCAGATGGAGTGAGAAGTGGTCATAATTGAGGCTCCCTTGCTACATTTTCTTACGAGCTCCTTAATGAAGTCAGGGTTGTCAGTCCATCTGCCTCCCAGATGGAAATGTTGTTCCTAATCCAAGACCCACAAGTGTTGTACTACTTTATTGCTGTAAAAGCCTTCATATTTTAACAAGTGATCAAATACTTTTGTGTGCATGATAAGTTTGTCTTGTTTTCTAATATATAACTACATCTATATGTGCATTTCAGTGCATTTTGTTTTTTTCATACATTTTGTTTATTTCATACTAGTTCTATTTTTGACTGCATTGTAGAATAGTATATTTAAATAATTGGGTTAAATAGATTAGAATGTAATATTTTCCTGAAGCAATTGTATTACCATATTTGCAGAGTCCTACTCTGTTCGTTTTACTTTCCTGCTCCCATTACTTTTTCAGGGGTCTTAAGTTAGTGTAGAGGCAATCATAAATTTTGGAGATTAATTTTTTTAAAAAAGAAAAGGTAACAGGAGAGTCCTGTAGTAGGCGCTTATGTACAACATGAGCTTTCAAATGCTTCCTACTTTCTTCCATTGTTTAAAATGTATTATCCTCCTCACAATATTTATCAAATTCATTGCATTCATACTCCCTGTGAAGATATGGCAATTATACTTGAGATTGTTGAGATTATATCATGAATTATACAGATACACACATATATATATATATGTGTGTGTATTGGTGTAGACAAATGTTTTTAACTTCCAACTTCATTTGGGAAAATATATTTTTTTGATTTTATTGTGGCAGCTGCTGTGACCTGCTTGGCCAAAACTGGGCTCTTTACAGCTGTCTCCACACAAACTAAATAAGGTTTTTGACAGCTTTCATGACACTTGTTTATCTTTGTTGATAAACTTGTTTATCCCTTTGCTGAAATGGAAAATGTACATTGTTACTATTAGTTTAGAAATGTTATTATATAGCGCCTTTTGTGATCATTATCTTAAAGTGCTTCGCAATGAAACAGTAAAAAAAAAAAAAAGTTAAATGTATACAGCAATTAAACAGTAGTTAAAGTAAATGTGAAGTAAATTTACATCTGTACAGCAGGGGGTTTTAAAGGTGCACTCTAAATGACGTACCTGGCTGAAGGTTACAACACTATTGCCCCATAAAGGGTTTGAACCCATTACCTTCTAGTTATGAGCCTTATGAGTCCTGACCCCTAACCACTCTTCTACACAACTGCAGCATTATGCAGTAACAGTCCGCAAAATCAGTTACATTGTAGTGAGGATGAACTTCAAAGGGTCTGGTTTTGGAAGAGCAAGTCACATGCTGAAATCCTTAAATCAGTGGTTTCTCTTCCCCTTTTCTGTGTAGCCTAAATGAATATTGTTGTTGAGGTGGTTACGGCCTGTTCTCGAGCATTTCACTGTTCTGTTTTCAATTCTGCCCACTTGAGTTAAGTGTCACCCGTCATGTTGTCGTCACCAGTGTCATATTTTCAACAAACTGTAAGTTAGGACTGGTTTACACAACGTGCTCTGTATAGTGGGAGCCCTTTTTGTTACACGTGAGGCATATCATCAGCTTGACCTGTGACATAAGGTCAAAACGATTAAGAAATCATGAAGTTTTTCGGTTTCTGTTAAAAACTAAGGGTCCTACGTGAAAAAAAAACAAAACTTAGGTGCTTCATTTCCCTTTTAGGATGCAAAGGAAATTCAAGCACTTAAGTGTTTTGAATATAGGTTCCCAAGCTCTGAAGTCTGTTTTTAAGGAGATGCACATTTCCATTAATTCTGAAAGGTGTAATTCAAGAGGAATAATCTCTGAAATGTTCTTTGTCTCCAGATTGTCAGGGCTCTGCCTCGCACTTAACATGCTACGTCCAACTTCAGAGTTTCATACTTCTGTAAAGACACAACCAAAACTGCAGACTTGTTCCCAGAACATTTAATTTTTTTCATGTGTCCTGAATTATTTTATGAGCTATCCCGTAAAACCTCTGAAACTAAAACTGAATTTGCAAAGCTCTGCTTTTGTAGGACACCCACGAACCATTTTACCTGCAGTCTTCTGGTTTCCCTGTCTCTGACTTTCGAAAACCAGTTTTATGTTCTTTCAATGTCTGTTACCCTGACCAATACGCATGTGTTATTCCCACATGTATTTTTGTGCCTTATTGTCTCCTATTTTCTCATGTTTAAATATGAACATCCTTTTCCTTGCTCATTCCCTTCCCTGACACCCATTGTAGCTCTGGGCTGCCTGGTCTTCTTTCTACTCCCTTGTACACTGAGGACAATGTCCTCAAGTGTTCTTTTGGCAGCTCTCTGAGCACATTGCCATTATGAAAGCCAGTCGGAGAGACTTTATTTCTTCATTTTCATCCTGGCTTGGGGCCAGAGCCCAGACAACAAAATGAGCAAGACAATAAGGAAGCTTAGGCCCCAAGTGCAGATGCTTGCTATTTCAAAGTAAACCCTCAGATTGTTTAGCAGTTTATAGACCATACAAAATATGTTCCATTAGAAGAGTACAAGTTAGCCATGGAAATGAGGTTATGGAAAACATTTTGTATTTGTTTTTCAGGAGTAATGCTGTTAGTAGAACGCTGAAGCTGTCCCCCTGTCACTAGTAGCTTGGATATCTGAATGAACCAAAAGAAGACCTCTTTTTATAATTGCTGAGATATTTATTATAGTTGAAGCATCAGTACATAGCTCTGTGCAACAGGTACATTTTCAATGTGCAGGGTTTAGGGATTCAAGGTCCCATTGAAATTCGGTGTAGTTTTCTTCCGTGTTTAATCCTGACTTGATTACATTTATCTGGTGCAATGAAGTCTGCGTTACTGACATAGTTCCAGTTCACTTCAGAGTGTTTTTCACTTTATTCCTTTATTTGTTTAGTCTTTTCAGAACGTGTCTTTGTGCCTTAAACAAGGAGAAATGTATTTTTTTAACGGTAATTCACTTTATAACCAAAAAAAACCAACAACAAATGAAGTACATATGTGCGTTCTTTTAAACATATGCTGTAAACAGTTTTCAGGCGGGACACAGAAAAGGAATATGAAAACAGGTTATTCCGAATAAGCCAAATGCTGTCCTCAATTCAAATATTTACACTGTCATTAAAGAGAAATAAGGCAAGTTAATGTTTAAACATTTTGTTTTTGATACCATCTGGGGCAGATTAGCTGAAAGCTAGAAGGAAGTTACCATGAAAGTCCGTCAGGGGTCAGCATAAGACCTATCTGGCGGCAGCCAAACTCTTAATACGTTACTAATCATTACATTCAGGGTAATTGATGGCATGTATTGCCGTGGCAAGTGTAGTTGATTCCTGGAGAAAATGGGAGGACTGCACATGTAAACTGGGATGAATTAGTCTAGGTCATTCGAAAGCAGATTGTATCTGGAGGGAGTCGATCATTTCTAAGACTCGATGCTTGTGCAGGCACCTACTGTAGGTTAGGCTTAGCTCCTTACACCAAAAATAAGGATAAAACACCCGTCCCTTAAAAGTGTGGTGAAAGACGCACTGCGATTTTCAGTGACTAGGAGCACAGTGGGCTCTTGGCCAGTAACTGACCAAGCAAATGATGCCACCCTTGAGCACACTCCTCTGGGAAGGGAGGCGGCAGCTGTTGGA